AAATTCAATATGCTAGCATTGTTTACGTGTATCGCCTATACATCCTTAAGAGAATGTCCAGGAATTTTATTTCTCTTGCTACGTTCTGGATATTACACAATCATTTATACAATGCTGTGTAATTTTTCCTACTACGATATTTCTAACAAGTTTTCCTTTTACGCACTGACATGATAAAAACGATATCTTAATCGTGAAGGAACAAACGATTTTCCTCTTCTTCAATTTTTCCAAATAGCATTTCTTATTATTTTTATTCTTTAATATATTGTAAATGGAAATGAAAAAGAAAACGCAACCGCGACGGAGCAACGTGTAAAGAGAAACTAATCAAATTACGATGAATGATGGCAAGAAATTTGTACGAAAAATGAATTCAAACGAAAATGGAATAGATATAAAAGGCGTCGTATATATTGGAACAATAGAAATCTGATTACCAAAATCGCGGTGACCATTGGACAATAGCCAATTGACGTGCAATTCTAGAAAATGATCGATTTCGAGAAATTTTGCTAAGATCCAAGTATAGTTATTGAACAAAATTCAAGCGAATTTTATGATTACAATTATTTACAATCGAAGAATATTTTAACATTACCCCGTAACGATTATTTATCGTCTCGATGTTTTCTATCAATTGAAATTCGATCAGAGTTTATATATTAAGATCAGTAATTGAAAGAATTCTGCCAGGCAGACTTTGAACTTTTTCATAATTTTTTCAGCCTGGAGAACTCGCGTGCTAATTCTACGTTCATTAGCACGCCACGGCATAACACTTTAACTATCCTCATTAAAGCGAAACCTCGTCTAATCTTTGAAAACTTAATCCACGTGTTTGCATATCTTTAAACGAATAAGTGGCTTGACGAACTGCTCAGCAGACTTTTAAACCACGCAACTTTGTGCGCGTTATAATCACGCTTACTAAGATAAAGAGCGAACGAATTTAATTTCCTTCCAGTTGGTCGTAAAGTTCGAAGACCGGAATAACAATTGAGAGTCTCTAAAAAAAAAACCGGCAAAGTGAAGAGAATTCCTGTCAAGCAAGCCAAAGTAAGGAGGATCGAAACGATCCGAGGAACGAGCCGGGAAAGGCAGGATAATCCTCGCGCCCGCATAATTCGAACCTCTCAATGCAGCAAATCAAGTGTCCTTGGAAACAGCCAGTCGATCCGTACAACAAATACCTGGTATCGAATGGCAACCAACAAGAAAATCGAGCAGTGAACGATAAAAATACCGATACAACGTCCGATAAAGGCGCAGGGTGAAATACGACAGGGAGAAGAAGAAGAAGAAGAAGAAGAAAAAAGGGAGGAAAGCAGTAGCAGACGTTGCGGTTTACTGCGGAATCGTATGAATTACTACTTCCAATTACGGGTGGAGCCAAGCGGGTCGTAGATACTAATGAAATCTCGTAGAATGTGCTTAAGCTCCGCAAAAGTGTTTCAAGAACAATAACTCACGCACTGGATTAAATTTTTCGTAATTATGTGCAAAGTAGGAAATTTACGCTCACTTCTTACGGTCATCCGTAATGTAGGATATTTTCATTTTTATTCACTTGAATGTACGTTTACGGAGCTAGAGTTTGTGCTTTAAACGTAAACGGATTTTAATATAGCACTCTCTCAGGACGGTCGTTGAAACCTCGTAAGACACAGATACAACCACTTGCCGACGTATCCGCGATCACGACAAAGTGATCGCTTCTTTTTTAGATCATCGTTCATTCGAAATAATAATGCAGCGGCGAGCACTGCGCGTCGTATTCAAACGGAAGAACAATGAATATAGTGGGCGAATTGCACGCGCGGTTCCGATTACGAATCGTCTGCGATCGCGGCGAATGAAAAACTAAAAAAGAGCGACAAAAAGGGCGAACCGGAAAGAGCGAGTGCTTTTATACTCGAATCGCGGTTGCAAATAGGGAAACGCGGCGAGAGAAGGGAAGAGCGGTTTCGCAGAAAATCGAATTTCATTGTGCAAGTAGAAAAGAAACGAATCGCGTTGTACGGACACAAAATAGGAGAAAAAGGTGGAGAAGAATAGATGCTAGGTCGCAGAGTAGAACAGGGTAGAATAGTAGTAAATAAGACGGCAAAAGAATTCGGTGTTTGTTCCGCACAGTACCTGTTACTTCTCCCCCGACATATCTGTCCTCCCCAGCGCTCGACTGATGCCGCACCACCTGTTCGTGCTCCAGATTCTCCGTCCCCACCGCGCCCCCCCCCCTCCAACCCTCTCTAAATATATATATTCCCTCGACCGCGGATGTCCGAAGCGATGCTGCGACGAGTCGAGGCGGCTCCGGCGCGTACCAGCGACGCGGCGACGACGTTCCACGTTTGCCGAGTTGTAACTTGATTTTAAACGGCGATCGCCGATCGACGGATCGTACCCGACGAGGTCGTGCCAGGTGGCCAGTACGATGAGGACGAGACTGGTGGCCCGGCACCCGGCGCTCTCATGGTCGTGGACGTTCCGGCGCCGGGGGTCGCGACATGCCTACGACGCATCGCCACGAGTTCACCGGGGTCTGATTCCTCTGCTCTGCCTTTTCTTCAACCCCAGAAGCTGCGCTTACCCTGTCACTGCGCACACTCCCGATGCCGAGCTACCCCACACGACAGGCACGGGGCGAATCTATATGCGGGCTAATTGGGCTGCGTGAAACAGGATCAAGTTCAATACGAACGAATCCCGCTCGGCAATCGGCGATTCGCAATGGGATTGAGTTCCAACCCTCTCTCAGATTTTTAATTTCGTGTCAGACCGACGATATCAAACGCCAAATACGTAGTTGAACATTAAAATTAGATGTAATTCTATTATCTCAGAGGAATTGTATTAAAAATATAAACGAGGATTCATTGCCACCAACAAAAAGCAATAAAGTCGATTATTTTAGTATACGGTATCGTTGTTTGCTTGATCCCACGCTAAGGAATAGTCTCTCTTACCTGAATTATTCATACAAAGATGCGAAGAGGATTTTTATGGTGAGGTGTCTGTGTCACAGAATGCCTGTGTACGAGATAGGGAATGAATATTTAGTTCCTGGAAATTTCTTTAGCTCTGAGGGAAAATACTTGACGTCTCTTTAATTACCTAGATAAGACTTTGCGATTTCTCAAGAATTTTCATTATTACAGAAAACAATACGAACATTTCTACTTTAATTCATTGTCACACTTCTTTGAAAATGTAATTTACACGTTATTCTTCTGAGGTGAAAACATAATTCCTCTTCATAGAAACTTGTACACATAAAGATCAGAGTACATTTATTTATTACTGCTGAGAAATGGAAAAATGTACATTGTTTCCTGAAAAGCGTAGCCAAAGGAAACTTAAGTGTTTGTTTTGCTTTAGCTTCGATGTTTCCTTCATACGTAAAAACATTCGGTATATTCTCTCGATCGCTGTACTGCCGCAGAGTGGCCTACATTAATTTACAGGGTGTTCCTCGACAAACTCACTTTGAGTTCAACGAGTTGCACTGTATTTTAAAAACTCGTTACCTTATTCATATAAATCTTGAATTAATCGCATCGTTAGTTCAATCTTTCCCAGATGATCAATCAACATTATCCATCAAGTTATACAAAGAATATGCGAGGAATCTCCGTGAGCTCTCCTCTAAATATAAAATTATCATCACCCCCAATGCAATTTTTAATTACAGACTAAACCTGGTCACCCTGTATTTGATGCCGGGAAGAAAATTAGCGCGTTCCGGAAAACTGGCATCCGACTCTGCATAACTACCCTCCGTAAAGTCCGACCCTCCTAAATACTCGTGTCCCGCAACCCCTGTTCCGCAAGTCTACCCCTCAGTGCTATGCCAGCAACGATCCAGGTCGCCTTCGATGGCCGCGTCAGGGTTTAGCAAACATCCTCCGACAGATCCAAGGAATCTTGAACACGCGCGGCTGGAATGGGTAAGATCTTCCACCCGACACTTGTAAGATTTTGTCATCACATTTGTATTTAATTAAACACCCAAGAATCTCACATCTAGAACGTTTAAATCGTCTTCTTCATTTGTTAAAATCACCATTGATGTTACAACATAAACAAGTATTTCACGTCTTAACGAATTAATTTAAACACCTCGTTCTTCAACCGAACGAAACTTGCCCGACGAATTTACCGCCAAAGAACGCCAACTATCTCACAATGTAAATGAATCTTGGCTTCCGGCAATTAAATTCAGGGGCGAAAGGTGCAGCTGCTACATTTGCTGGTTTCCAGCAACAAGTGACAATGGCGTTGCGCTAATCTCACTAACGGCAATAAAGATTTCACGTTTCAATTACGGAACACGCGTTAATTTCAGCACTTTATCACTCGGCTACTAATTATATCACCAGAATTAAGAGTAACGGTTTTATAATTTTGTCCATCGTTTCGTTGAGCAGGTGATACATTTAATTCCATTTTTAATATGAATAATTATTATAGCTTTTCAATTGAGCCAGTGTATTAGTAAATTAATATAACGTTTCGTACAAGGATTGATACAATATTTGATACGATTGATTGTTGCAATATTTCATCCAATGATTGACAAACCTAAAGTACAGAGTTTCCAGCGATGCAAATGGTCGATACTGCATTTTTATCGCTCGTACATTGGATCATCCTCCAAACTGCATTGTAAAACAGTATGGAGAATAACAAACAGTATGAAAAACCGGGGAAAAAAGGTAAAAAAAATAAAAAGATGAAAGATAAATAACGGATAAAAGTAAAACAATGAAATTGTAAATATATAAATGTCGAAGGTTCATTCGTAAAAGTAAACAACGGAAACGCAGAGAGTGCAACCGTATACTCGCGAAATGCAAAACTGGAAAAATGGAAAAAAGTGCACGACTAAATGAACACAAAACTTGATGAAAACTGGACGAGTCGTATTTCCGGGACGATTCAAGTGCACCGGAGGCAATAGTAAGTCTTCAAGGTTCTCTGGTTCCCAATCAAATTATTATCGAGACACGTAATTCGATAGTGATTTTGAAACGTGATCCAACGTCGATGAGCATGTGTGACGCAGGTCGTGCGTATATAGTCTATAAACGGGAGCTGTAAATGGTAGCGTAGTGGTTAATCCGAATGCCCGAAGGGATTCTCACGGTGACGGGGAAATTTTTCATTTTAACGTTGAAGGGCTGCACCCTTGCCTCGGTGTCATACGTGTACCAAATTTCAATTCGCGCTATAAATAAATGCACGCACAAATACAGCATCGATATCAAAATATCAATATCAAATATCGAATATCAATATCAAAAGGTCGATACAGTCCTCGACAAATAATGTCACTCGATACAATTAGATACAGGTCAATTGCTATTAATTTGTAGTAATAGGTATTGGGTGATGTCAGGTTTCGTCGACGTTTAATATCCGGAATGCTATTAGAATTTCAATTGTTAATGGAACCTTGTGACCTTAAAAATAAATGAAATGAAATAAAGATGGAATTATAATGAAAGTACGGTGTCGTTTCTTTTTTTCCTGCCAACTTTAAAGACAGGCTCCAGCGACAAAGAGAAACAGGCGACAAAGGTAAAGCTGAGGTACATCTACCAAAATGTTTATATTCTCTGTAGTTTCCTCGTCAGTAGTATGTTATTCCCTTTGATCTGCTTCCTAGGTTTAAAACCGTGATATAATGAAGGGAATAAATTGTCAAGGAGTTTCATGTGTCACCACCACATTTTCCGTCTCTGTTTGACGGCGTCATCCTTCCTTTCGACATGTACAGTTAAAGATTCCTTTTGAACAATTGAAGCGTATATTTTTGTCAGACGCTGTGTACCTATAAAGATTTTCGAGATATCATTTTTATACAAGAGTTGAGAATTGAGGCAAAATTTCATTATAATATTTACGATCGAATATCGATTTAATTTAACAAATGTATCTGTGGAAGATTGAAATTCAGAACGATTGCAATGTATTAGAAATGAATTAGCAATTGTTTTTAACGGCAAAATTATTTTCTCGTGCATAAGGAAGGCAGAATAGTTTCCTTACAAAAATTGATAAGAACGGGACTGAGATTGTCGGTGGTTCTGCCGACAAACTGCCTTCCGCCGGCAATTGAACATTTTTGTCGTACAACTGAAACAAGAAATGAACACGCTCGTTTTTAAACTCTAATTTATTCTTTATTCAATATTTTGCATAAATTAAGGAAAGAGCGCGGATTTTTTTTTTTGTAGTGACGTCTAGTGTACCAACTGACGATGATTTAACATTTAACGATAAAAGACTGGAAAAATAAAGAATCCGACGTTTAGACGTAAGAAGAAAATCGATGTCTGTGATTTAGATCCTGAATAATTTCAAATGAGCTAAATAAATTTTGTACATGGATACAGACCTATACACATGATGAGGTATTTACTTTCCTATTAACGTCAAATACATGTCAAAATTAAATGATAAACTTGAAATTATTAAAAAATAAAAACACGTGAAACTCGAAAGTGCTACTGAATTAATGTTGGTTTTCTTCGGTTGGAACGTTTTTAGGAAAGCGACCATTTATTTGACAACTTGATGAAACCTTCAACATGACATTGTACTTTTACGCATTTACAATTCTGATTCTATTCCAAATAAGCTGCAAGTGTACATTTATAATTCGAAAATGTCTCGCACAAATTTGTTACAAAATACGGAAAAGCTCCTCTACGGAACATTTTTTAAATTTTACTTTTTTATCAAGTCGTACATCTTCTTAATTCCCTTGAAGAGTATTACTTGCATCTCCTGTTACGCGTTGATAGAAAATTCTAGTGTAATTTTTATATATTGTCTTTGTCTAGCTTGACTAATGTATTTTACGATTTTTAAAACAATTATACATTTGAAAATTGGCAGCAATACATTGGCATGTTTATATTGCTTTACAACACATTTGAAATAACTTGTAATCTTTATTGTTGCAAATTATCTACATTTCCTTCTTTCTCGCGTAACCAATCCTAGTGTCCTTTTATGCTGATTATAATCTGTATGTTTCATTATCAATTACGTGTCCCATATGATCAGAGTTTTGGAATTATTCGGACATGTACCAACTGGTTGTTCTTTAATGTATGTAGGTATCGTGAAAATTTGGACTTGTACTTGTTCAAGTATCTTTCGTTAATCTTCATTATTTATTATATGGAATGAATAATGAAGCTTTGAAATAAATAAACGTACTTGGTTCGCACGTTACGTACGCAATCATAATTCTTTGTTAAAGAAATTAATTATTCCGAAAAATAAAATATTTACTATTTTATTTAAATAGACTTTCGCTAAAAAATCTTAGATACTGTAATAGGTATCTTATGCAATTCTTTCAGTAGCAATTACCTATACATTCAATAAACCAATACTTTAGCAACTTGAAAATATTTCACTCCATCACTCTGCTATCTTTAGTAATAATCAAAACCCGACTCGGATCTAAAATAAGGACGAAATATCAAAAAAGTAAGGAATGATCATTCTAACGCAAAAACTAAATCTAGAGATTCGTAAATTACAATTATCGGAAAAGAGCGTAAATATCCGAGGCTCGCAAAAACCTAAAAAATTCAGTGTATGTTTAAACATTGGGAAAGCATTCGCATTCATATGAACAGATAGGTGCGACCAATTCTTGTGTTGCTGTTTGATCAATTCGTTGGAAGTATATCGTAAAAAATTGGCAAATTATCGTCTCGTCATCGTTCGAAAAAGAAATTGAAAAAAAAATGGACATGTTCACTTAATCGTACATATATTTTACAGTAAAAATGCAAATTAACACACTCACGAAGGAAACAATATTTCATTCGTATGATCAAGAATTTCTAATTAATTTGGAGTTTCTAATTAAACAATTAGAAATTGTTAATATCAAGTGTCCTGTCTTACAGTATGCTAATATATAAATAAAGACCTGTAATAGATAAATGTTGTTACAATAGCTATACAGTTTAAGAATGGAACTCTGCACTCTTGGATAACTTTGATACTTCCGTACGCCTATTAATATTAATTATAAATAAATGCCACGTGGGTCTCGAATCGATACATTACATCTTTCATTTACCGTTGCACAATCGTGGAAATGATAAATGTATCAAGATTATCGGACAACCAGTTAGTAGATAATTACAAAATACAGAAAAATGTAATATTAGTATAATATAATGAGCGACCCAGTACTGCCTTCCTTTTCTTCAGGGATACATTTAAAGGTAACAAAATAAAGGCTATAACTTACTGATTGCACAAGCCATTCTGTAATCATATTATCAAAAAAATGTTTACGCAATATGCTACAATCACTTATTTTTACTACAAAGGTATGTTGTTTTTCTCCCTTTTTCGTTCAAGTAAAAACTAGTAATTCATCAAAATTATACGTTCTTGCTGAAATAGGAATCTCGTTTTACGACTGATACTTCTCAACGTTAAAGGATTCTTTACAAGTCTGCTTGGACAAACCGCTGAAGTAAATCTAAACACATCTTTGTATTCCCCACAATATAGAAAATACAGTTTCATTCTGTTTTACTCTTACAAAACTTTTATTTTTTTTTATAGCAAAATTGTGGACACAGGTGCAGGGTACGCAGCTGGTGCGGGTAAAGTGATCGGTAAACTCGGAAAGATAGGGGTAACGTCACTTTGCATTCGTAGATGGTCTAAGATCAGTTGTCCATAGCGTATCTCCGAGTCCATTCTTTGGCATTGCGTATCGCTTCGCTTTCGTTTACTTTCCAGAGTTCAGCTACGTCGTTTGCCAAAGGATCGTCTGGGTTCGGTGCACTTAAAAGCGCTTGTATGGATAATAAAACTGTTCTAATTTGAAGAGCAGGACTCCACTTGTCTTTAAGAATATCCAAGCAAATCCTACCCAATCTGCAACAAGTGAAAAACGTTTCTCCCTTTAACCGTCGAATTTAAGCATAGATCAACAAGCGTACCGAGATATCCGCACTTTTGTAATTACCTGTCTATGTTTGGATGATAAATTTTTGTAATGAATCTAACTTTAGGAGCAGACATTGGATAATCTTCGGGTAGGAACAACTCTAGTTTAAACAGTCCACCTTCGAACGGCGAGTCTTCAGGTCCAGTTACGATTACATGAAAATACCTAGCATTTGTATCGTCTGGCACAGCGCTGATACCAGGAACTGGCTCTTGCATTAGTCTTTGTGTTTCTTTGATGATCCTTCGTGGAAGTGCAGCCATGTTTTATGGAACTTTTTCTGGAATCACATTTTAATGCTCTTCTTACTTTCGTTGATCATTTATCACATTGATCTCTCACAAGTAATAGAGGTTTACATGGACGAACGAATCGTAGCTAACTATAGTGACGATACAAGTTGGGAGAAGCATGAAATTGTCAAAATTTATCGTCAAGTGAATGTATAAAAATTTTCAGTCTGTTTGACCGATTATCAATGTACATGGACAGAATATTAATGACTGTAACTAACTCAACAGAAGGGAATCTAGGTTACAAAGAATATTTCTTATTGTCTCCATAATTAAAATCACGTGTCAAGCAGACAAGATGTACAATAAAAAGACAGAACTATTTCCTAATACCGATTAATACAGATTGATGTTCAATTGTCATAAACATTTTGTTGGAGCAAGTCGTTTTTTACGCTATCGTATAATGAACAACGAAAAGAAAGATGCGATCCAAGTATCACCGATGCATATAAAGAGCACCGAGAATAAAAAAGATCGTAAGAAACGCAAAGAGCATTATAATATCTCGATTTTTGCTGCATTATTTTCTGCCAACCTCCAAAGCTGCGGAAAGATTTTCGCATACGCGTAAACAAAGAATACGTGCGCAGGGTCACGTATCGCATGGAACTACGTCCCCGAGTGTCCCGGTTGTACAAGAACGTTTTAGGCGATTAGCAGTTTACGTATAACAACAAAATACGTACGATTAACTGAAAATATCCCCGCGTCGCCCCGCAGTGTGGCAGATCGTCCGCCTGTCTCTCTCACACTCCGATGGCCCTTTCTTTCTAGAAACCTCGAAATCGATTTCTAATACTATTTTCGATTGCGGTTTTGCGTTTAACGAACGATCGGCTTCGCAGCCGACTCGGGAAATCTGTCCGGAATCTATCGTGCAACCCCGAAACAGACACTTTAACGAAGTAGTAGTGTTAATTAAATTTTCACACGTAAATGTGTGCTACAGCCCTCGCAACCGCTTCTCGCGATTCATCTTATCACGCGTTGATGGCGCTGCATACGAATCCACTGCGTAAACCAATTTAACAATACGCGATAAAACCATTTAATGAGGCTATGAGGTAAAGGGAATTATTTCGCTTGTAATTATTAGTTGAAACCTCTACTTACATTGTATAGTACAGTTTTCAATAATTTAATACACTGACCATGGATAATCAATGGATCAATGAAATTATCTTTACATTTTTCAAATTATATGGATACGTGATGGATACAGATATGTATGCAGTCTTCTTTTTATATGAAAGAAATAAACAATGATAAACAATAAAAGTTTCTCCACATTTGTAAGTCGCTTACAACACCGAGGAGAGATTACTAAAGAGTGGCAGTCTTATTTGGACTTTCTGCCGCTGGAAAAAGTGCAATTTTTGGCGCCCTCTAGAATTGTATTGCACCGAAATATACTTCTTTATTATAATAAAGAAATAGAATGAACGAAAGAATAGAAGAAAAAAGAAACACTCGTGGGTGCTGAACAAACAATTGTCAGATACAAAAAAGGCGCTAAGCAAATTTCCTTTCAAATACAATCGTTAAAGAATAATTGGCGATAGACGAAATAATTAATCGATTACTCCCAAAGTATTTGAGATGGAAAAAAATTGCATATTACCTTTCTTGTAGGTAATAACAGTACGTACTACGTTTATTTAGGAAAGACAAAGGTTTTCTTCTAAAGTATGCTGTTTTCCACAGGGGAACCCCGACCGGATTTTGTCAGTGCCCAGAAAATGTCGATTAGTCGTACTTGACTCGTCAAGTTATAAGAAAAATGCAATGCAATTTTTGTACAAAATTTTGTTCGCTAGTGTCTATAATTAATCAACACAGTTGGAGCCGAGAACAATGTAATTTTGAATTTCCACGCGGTAACCGCTCACGCGTGCATCTTCTGCAGATTGCGAATGGTGGCATAATATTCGCAATCGCAACAACGTCACGTCAGTGTGGAACCGACAAACTGCCGTGAAACGTTTAAAAAATATTAAAATGTCTTGCATAGTTAGTGAAATGTCAGTTAAAAGTTCTCGTTATTTGAAAACAATTTGCAGTCAGCGGTTCTTCAATATTCTCTAATTTTACAGTACAGTAAGTTATGTCAATAATAACCGTAAACATTGCTGTAATACGAACCTGTCGTAATTCGATAGAAATACGAAATCCATACTAATAGTATGACTAATTTGCGATTGATATTCGTTTCAAAGGATATGCAAATAATTATTGTTCGTTATTTGATGATGTAAATAGTTTGACAGTAGTATAACCTCAACATGTGAAATGTCACAGCTACTTGCAGCTTGGGAGTATTTCGATTATAAATTCTTTACAGCAATTTATTAAAAATGGCTGACGTACGGTTACTTATACAAGAAGAAGGCCGGGCAGCCAGAAATTTGATAGCTTTCAACGTGCCAGTTGGGACGAACAACACTGAAAAGATTACAAAAAAACCTCCGAGTGTTCCAAGAGTATCACAGGCAAACAGTACTAAAAGATCCATGAAACCGACAGCTAGAGTGAGATCGGCTTCTACTGGCCGGGATAAAAAATCTGGTAAGTCGAGACATTTAGAATATTATTCACGTTATCAAGATGATTCGTCTAACTGATCGTACTTTGTCCGACTGTAGAATTGCAGGCTAGATATTGGGCTTTCTTGTTTGGTAATTTGCAAAGAGCAGTAGATGGCATTTATCAGACCTGTGAAGAAGATGAAAATATTTCCGAGTGCAAAGAAGTGATATTAGTTTTAGAAAACTACACTAGAGATTTCCACAATCTGATCGAATGGTTTAGAGTGAAATGGGCTTATGAGAATTCACCACCGCCGTTAAGACGTACTCCATTGGCATGGGAAGTAAGAAAAACCTCGCCTTGCCGTATTTGGAATTCGACAATGATCCCAAAATCCACTAGTCCATTGCAAAGGATGAGCCCCACAGAATCCATTTGTAGGAGTCCCGTTGACCAAGTTATTTCAGAGAATAAGCCTATAGATAATAGAAAAAGTTATGTAAAAGGTGATTCTGCACAAAGAATATTGAAGGATAGCCAAAGTAATGTTTCTAAAAATAATGTAACTGAGAAATGTAAAAATGTAATGGATAAAGGAGTGAATCAGTCGTTGAACAAAGATAAATTAGCTTCGCTAAAAGTGAACAAGAACCTTGTGAAACATACGATACCTACAAAAACCTGTAACAACGCAGATCAGAAAACGAACGAAGCAAAAAATAAGAGTGGATCGAAATCACCCAAGACTGGAGTCCATCACAGTGTGAGCAAGACGACAGATTCAAATGTGATGACTGAGAAGAGCGATAGTGACAAGAGTACGCAATTGATTACGTCGGCAGAAAAGGAATTTTTCAAATCTAATAGCACGGATAATAAGTCAAGTCTGCAAAATAATTTGCAAGTGAAACCACTGAGCCCAAAGAACGATTTGGGTCTGGAAAAGAACGAAATTAATTCTAAAGTAAAGAGGCAAAGTGCAGGGAAAAATGTCCAAACTGTCGGTATAGAAAACGTGGCCACTGAAAATAAGATGGTAGAGTTAAAGGACAATACCGTGGCGAATAAGAACATGCAGAATATTGTAAAATCTTCGAATAGAATTAACCAGAAATTGAAGAGGCAATCGAGTATCAGTGATAATTCGAATAACAAGATGTCGACAAAATCCACCCCCGATACATCTAATATGACTAAACCGTTAATTAATACGACCAAGCCAGCGTATTCTACAGTGTCACAAATGAAGGTTGTCAAGCCAAAGCAACCGTCGTTAGAAACTCCAAAATTTTTTAGGAGTAGAACGACGTTAAGTGACAAAAACTCGTCAGCCCCGAACAAAGCTAGACCCGGTACGTCCGTAATAGTTGGGCAACGTTTTCAGCCAATCGACAATAAGGTATTGTTAATTTTTTTAATTCTTCAGAGTATTAATTTTGAATATAAATAAAGCTCATGAATTTCTTCTAGATTTCAGAGCAATGCTCACTGAAGAAGGATCAAACCAGGGATATGAATGGTTCGGTAGAAGTATTAACGAAACAGCCGCAAGTTGTCAAAACGAAGGAAGAAGCAGATGGTTGGCAAACGGTTCGCGGGCGTTGTCGAAGGGGCAGTACGCATAACCTGAACATGTCCACGAGATTCCACAAGCCAAGCACTGCCACGTCATTACCGGCATTGTCAATAGAAAGCCCCTCGGAGAAGAATAAAAAGAACAGTTTGACTCCGGATGGAAATGGCAGACAGAAGAAAAAGTACATCATAGAAAAGGAGGGCAAGAACATGAGTAACGAGGTGGAAAAGGTCAAAGGGGAGTCAGTCGTGAACCTTACTCTCAAGGACAAGGTGGAAGAGGTATTCAAGAACACGATCAACCTAAACGAGATAAACTCTACGTCAATGATCGCGGCTATTTTTAAAAGCGACGCGGAATTATTGGAGAAACGTATACAGCAATTTATGGCCGCGCAGGCCGAAAGAGAGAGGATAATTTTAGAAGAGGAAAGGAAAACCGAGGAAGCCGACTCGCAACGATCGCAACAATTGTCGGACGAAGAAGCGTTCCTGCATAGACAAATCTTGGAATTAGAATGCGCGGAAACCGACGTCGATACCGAGACCGATGAAACGGACGGTGAAATGATACTCGAAATAGAAGACGACCAAGCGACGTCTCCCAGCGTTCCCGACGACGTTAGTTTCGAAGATAGGTACGTATAGATCGCTTCGTTTCCACTTTACTCTTTAATTTGTGCGTTCAATTCCGAAGAATTCTTTACAGATACGAAAACATGTTGGATGGAATGTCTTGGGCAGAGTGCGTCGATACGCTCGCCCAGCTGCGCGCGTTGGTAGCTCGTCACCCCGGCAGAGCCTTGGAGTTGCACCAGAAATTATCGTCTCCGTCCCGAAAAAGGTCGTTGCCCGAGACGTTGCGGCGATACCAAGCGAAACAGGCTTGTGCTCAACACAAGCGGCAAAAGCTTTTAATGGAAAAATCGCAAAGGCTACGGGAATTGTTGAATAAAGTGAAAGATGTCAAGAGCGCAAAGAGCCAGTTGATTGAAGACAAGAGAATCAGAATGGAAATGAAATTGAAGAAGGCGGAAGAGAACAGAACGCAGCATTTGCTGGAAGTAGTGAGGAAAGCTCACGACGAGGATTCAAAGTTGAAGGAGATTGCATTTATAAACGAGCTTGAAGCACAGAATAAGAGACATGATTTCATGGCGTTGTGTCAAGAACAGGAAGAGAGGTTGCAAGTATGTATAGATATATTAACGCTTTCACACTTTGAATGATCTGCTTATAATAATCGATTACTCAGGGAATTCAAGAAGAGCGCCAACGCAGACAGGAGGAGAAAGCTGCCAAAGAAGCCGCCGCTGAAGAACGTAGGCGGGCTTTGGAAGCTGAGAGACAGCTGCGGATACAAAAAATGAAGCAAGCTCGCCGCGAGCGTGAAGAACGAGTCGGTAAAATGCAATTGGAAAGAGAGAAAGAGCGGCAGGTAATTGATTATGTCTAACGAAGAATTGCGGAAATAGTGTAAACAAACGTTGATGGAAAATCTGTAGGAGCACGCGAGAGAAAAAGCCAGGGATCGGGAAGAACGTTTGTCGGCGCTTCACGCGGCACAGTTGGCGAATCAAGAAGAATTGCAGAAGAAGATTGCCCAGAAGCAGCAAGAGTCAGCTAGAAGGCACGTTGAAAATATAGAACAGATTCGACAGAGAGCAGTGGAGTCTTCGATTTTGAGATCCGAGGAAGTACCACCTACGTTGAAGTCGTATCCCGCACAGAAACAATGTTCTTTATGCGGAACAGTGGTAAATGATTGAATCTCATTCATGCCTTTTGTACAATTAAATATTTACGAGTGACGTTAATTTTTTTCAGATACCCAACGAAGTGCACTTGTTGTGTCACTTGAAAGGGAAAACGCATCTCGCAGCAGTGCGGAACGTACACGATGGTCGAGAACCGTCACGGGACGAACTGCAACGCTTTAACATACTGCAAATTCGCGATGTACCGGTGGTGGATAACAACGATTCCAACGAAGTGAGAGCTGCCAAGGAGAAGCAGAAGGCTTTAAAACGGCGATGCAGGAAGATGAAGCAGCGTATGATTCTACGGGGTAAAGAGTGGGAGAGCAATCACAAGATTGACGAGAATCAGAGTATCGAGTCGACTAATAAATCCAAGTATCGTCGAAATCTGAAAGAATTGGATCGATTGTACAACAACCATTCAAAGACAGCTTGGTCCAGCGTCGCTATTGCCGCCATGGAACGTTGCCTGGGCGAGATAACAAGAGCCTTCTCTAAATCTGTAAGTATCATGTACTACGCGTGTATCAATAAAATAAATCTTCCAAATCTATATACGAAATGTTAATCGTAATGTTCCAGTGCTCGTCCGATCAGAACGCGTTTCGAATTTTGAACGGCTTCGAAGTGTTGACCAATCTGTTGAACATTGGATTGCAAACTCAAAATGCGTCTCACAATTTACCAAACAAGTAAGTAATATTTTAAACATTGAAAACCAAATTCGTTTATACATCGTTGTATATATTCTAAACGATTGTGTGTTTAGGAGCATTCTGTCCGTGTGCCGCGCGTTCAAACTGAGCGTTAGTGAGAGTGATACAAACATCGAAGCGGTTCTGTCGAGCAACAAAGTTCTCGTCATCTTAGATCTCCTGCTTCAGCATCTAGAGGTACGTGGAACATGATCCTTCAGTAATTACCTTTGTGCTCGGTCCTTAGAAATTTTTAATCCTCTTGCATTTTTAAGAGGATTCATATTTATCCGAATTTATCAGTCCGTGATCTATTGAACGTTACACGTTTGACTAGTTGGCAGCAGAGGCATTTCAAGTGCTGCCGGCGCCTTTTCTCATCCGGTTATACCGATACTTTTTCATGCTTCCGTTTATTTCATAATGAAAACTCGCCTCCATTTATTGCATCACGTTCTTTCCCTTAATTTTCCAAAGACGGATTTCTTTTATACACTTTTGAATTCGTTCTATGAATGATATTTTTAGAAATAGAACGAGGAAAGATCTTTTATTACGTAAAAGTTAAACTAAATTATAGCCTCTTTCATTAAAAACGTTAAGATAATAATTCAACTTGCAAATATATATCACACGTTTCGTGCAAATATCTCGTGCGAGTTGACTAAACCGGGAATTCATGCGGCAGCGACACGCGAATGAATTCCCTCTCGTCGTGCTCGTTTTTCGAGCTCATTTTAAAGCTGGTAAATAAACGAAAGCAAAAGCCTGTCCTGTCTGACTTGTCAAAATAAGGATCAAGAGTTTTAGGGCTCGCGTCCTCCGGCTCCCTCCGAACATTCTCTCGCGTTTGTGTGTCGAACGCAAGCTGGATGCTGAAAATTCATCAAAGAATCTTGCCTGTAAACATTCGAGCCGGTGTACTTAATTTTTTCCGCGAAAACATCTTGCAAATACTCGTGACTAAATCGTTTCATCTTCATTACTTTTCAGATTCCTCCTCGTTCCATTTTCATTATCGTTTTCGTGCAAGATTTTCAGGACCGTTCATCGTTCTTGCTTGGAACCAAAATCAATCGTTTCGCTCAATGATGACCGTCGTTATCGGTTCGCGAATTCAACGTCGTGATTTCGGGATCGATTTTTCACGGTTCATAGATACGGCACTGCCGCGTTCCTTCTCCTGTTCCTCCCCCGGGAATCCCCCTCCGCAAATGCATTAGCGGCGAGAGAGCTTTTAGTGACGTCACCCACGCACACGCGCTTACACGGTAACGCGTGTACACGTGTCTCACACACACACATGTACCGCGCGGGGGAATCAGGTTATACTGTACGGTGAAAGGAGCGTGCGTTCCATGTAGAATGCGTGGGTACTCTTCTGTTGCCACTTCCATCAAGCTCCGTTTTCGAGGAGCCGGCCTAATCTTTTGTCTCGTCCTCCTATCGGCGGTTTTTCAACGACCTCTTCGCACCGTTCCTCGATTCGGCTGTTCCTCATATTTTACCCGGGCCTAGCTTTCCCCGGCCGGAGGGTTTTAACCCGAGTCCCCGTTCTTACGAGCGATATTTTCGAGTTTACGGCTCCGAACGTAAGAAAGCATTCGGTTTTCGGCGACGTCACGTGGCAAGAATTATTTCAACGCTCTTGGTAATTAAAAAACTTTTACGAGAATTGGAAAAGATTTACAGCGATTGTCCTTTTAAATATGACTGTGTGTTGACTCTAGAAATTGCATGCTGTTCGAATGTTATATATTTAAAAGTAGATACATGCTTTTATGTGTACAGTAGCTAGACTACAGATTTTCTACATTTATAGAAAGTAATAATATCGGGTCGATGGGAAAGTCCGTGTTTTTCGTCAATGAAGATGAGAGGATTTTTTCCATTTGAATTTGCATCGGTTCAATAGCACTGCCTAATGGAGCTCTTTTTATAGTCTCCAAATTCTTTGATACGAGCATAATAGTTTGATATGATCGTCAATTCGGAACTTGCGAAAGTTTCCTGTAAAATTCAATCACGAAACTTCTCAGGAAAATAGGGCTGGTCGCGCTGTTAAATCTCAGAGAGAATCGCAGTGTGGGCCGTTACCCAAAGAGACAGATATAGGGTCCGCGAATGCCTTTCAATCTCCGTTGACCAGACAAATTTACAATTTTCCGTAAATTGTCGAGACTACTTACACCCCCCTCACCAATACACTCGATTTCTTGGAACGTAAAAAAAGACAATAGATAAATCTGACGACTTAGATCGCTTGTGAAAAACGAGTAGGAAATATTCCTAATCAAATCGATTCAGAGTCAAATGGGTTGGAAGGGGATTTGGTCATGGTATCAAATTTTCCCGCGAGGGTTTACAAAATTTTATTACGAAATCCGAATCGTGTTCATTTTTATCTCAGGATTGTATAATTTTCATGAAAACGTTTCATATATATTTTTAAAACAATGTCGTAATCGGATTTCCCAATGTAATACCATTTATAGTATTTCATTTTCATTAAAAATTTCTCTGTATTAAAATCATATTATGCACATTCGGATGGGAATGTTTTTCTCCCGTTTAAACACCCTCTGAGATTTTCTTCTTTACGATCAAAGATTTTGTGACGTAGTGAGGACGAACAGATTTATGACGTTGTGCCGATTTTTGTTTTAAATACCGAGAAACGCGAGCCGTTAAGCCGTTCCCTGAAGTACTTATCGAACTCGCCGGGACTGAACCGTTTAGGAGCCACATTCCCCGGGATTCTTATCGTTACCTTCCGACTCGTTACTTCTAATTTAGCATTTTAAATGTCGCCTGCGTGTATGCGACGTCGATCGTCCGGCGGTCTCTCGTGTATCAGTGACTCAACGTGCCAGGAATTCGCCGTGTCCAGCATCCGGACGATCCTTTTGGCCGGTGTTCGAAACAGACCTGGTAGCCACTCGTCCGACTCGGACATTTCCGAGCCGAAGTCGTCAATCGCCTGACAAGCCTTTTAGGAAACCGATATCGGCCTTTCAAAGGGACGAGTTGGACGAATGCTCGTGTGATATGATTTTCCAGCTTGTGAAACTCTGATACTTTTCGTTTTTATAGGCTGATCTTTCTAAAAATTCTTGATTTGTTCCCACTTTTAAAAGAACAGCCGCATAAGCAAAAGAGAATTATGAATTCGCGAGGAACGTATAGCGTATGAAATAGAATTTGATTAGAAACACCGAATGCTTTATGAGCCAGCAAGAGTTTGAAAGTATCATTTAAATTCGTCTAGAGGAATGATCCACTTACAAAGGGGACCTTTTATCCGTAGACGCTCGCAAAACTTGACGACCAGCTCCAGGTGCAGGAGGCATCCGGCAATTCGACCGGAAGTGGAATCGTAGCGAGCAGCCTGATGCAATTGCTGTGCAGTTTGATCCCGGAGGAACCTTTCGAAAAATCGGCATTGCAAACGCGGGTCCAGGATATTGCTGGGTGAGTACCTTCAACGTATACCTGCACGCGAGGTCTTGAAAATTCGACGTCTACGTAGACGATCGATCGCTCCTTGCGTTATTTCCTCTTTCAGAGCAAAGTGTCCCATTTAAAGTTAGTGGCATACGTTAAGGGACAAGTGTCGTAAATATTTTCCGTTGAATTAGAAACAGTGAAAGATATGACAGAAAAGTAACGCGGTAGCATATTTTATTAGATTCCAGCGGTTTCATAGGTAAAACCGAACAGGAGTCTATTTTTCAAAAGTGCTTTGAAACGTACGACTGCTTTATACGAATGTATCGTTTGACATTTCTCCAATTCCGAATCCGGTAGGAACGTTTTTATAACAACGAAAATAAGTCAGATACATTTAAATGATAATCCACCTTATTCGTATCATCTCTCTCTCTCTCTATATATATATGAATATTTTTATAGCGCATTAGCATTTTCAGTTCATTTATCTTGCATGATAAAATTACTTCTACGGCTTCGTACTGCGTCTACTGTGATATTCGAAATTTAATTGCGCGCATTAGGCTATGCATGTATATTTAACTCGGGCACGTAACTTACAATAATGAAATGCAAACAATTTTTTGAAGACAGAAATAATACGAAATAATGAACAGAAGTAATTTGGTGGCGATGCTGAAACGTGGTATAAATTTCACTTTCTGCATAAACCCCGACCGCTCTTTTATTTTTCTAAGTATGTAAATGAACTGTACCGCACGATTGCTTTTGACGCGGGAAAAAGTTTCAACACTTTGCCGCGCGCGCGGACCACCCCCGTGGAAAAACATGTCGAGCTGAACTTAATACGCGAGTCACAACGTCACGAGGTGACAAGGTGCATGCTTGTTTTCCTTGCATCCTCTGAGATTCGATCTTTGCCAGCGAGAAGCGTTGCACCTGGGTCAACTTCCTCCCTCGGGACCCCCCAGCTGGCCAATCCTTTCCTATTTACACGGAATCATTTCCTTCCTTTTGTTCTTTGGGCGCCTCACATTTCTCAAGCTCGCTGAAAATACGAAAAATAGAGAAAATGTTGAAATAATTCTTGTTATCAGTATTCAACCATTGCTTGACAAATATCAAAGTTTCGCTTGCAGCATTGAAGTCTCTGGTGCAATCACTCTGATAATAATAGTCTGACTAGTACATTGATAGAAATGAATAGAAAGGAGTGAGAAGGCAATGTCTTATCGTGAAGAATGAAATCGATCAATAACGAGGATCTAGTTTATCGAAGCCCATTGTCTGTTCGCGTAACGAGCCGATGGGCAGTGACCTTATCGGCTGGTGAATCTGCAAATTCGAGTTTACGAACTGTAACGTCCTACTTTGAATAATGAACGAGGAAGGCGCGATCGGAATGATTGTTGGCCGGGTAGCCGGTAGTCGAATTATTATGATTAATTTCCTGCCGATGCGAGAACGGCCTAGTCACGATTTTTACTCACCGTAAAGATTGCTTTTTCGCTCGTGTACGCGTGTACCTTTAAAGCCCGCAGATGTCTAAGGGCGATCGATCATTTCGTACTGTAATACGTATTTGAGAATCGTTGAGTGCGTTCACCCCTTTTGAAAAAAATAGGCACATGCCTCCTCGTGAAATTATGATTAACGTTTCGCATAATAATTCTTATCGATTGAGACAGACGAGGGGTCGAAAATATTAACACGTTTATTGTAATCAAGGTTCTTGCAGATAATTGTGAAAAATCGGTTTAACTGTCGCAACGCTCAGTCTTTCTAATCTATGATTAAAGAGTCGTGTGATGCGGCATCCCTCAGGAATTATTTCTTCGCTCTCCAGCGAGAACGGCAAATGGCTCTTTTGTCGTAAAACCGGTATCACAAAGCGGGTAGCTGTGAGTAACGCGGCGCCATCGTTTCCCTTTTTGTTACTTCTTTAGCTGAAGCGCGCAGTCCGCGATGCACTCGGCGGAATACACGCTACGAATTTCAAATGATTCGTTATTGCACCGAGAAAGCCACGCTTCCGCGCGCAAGTTCGGCCAAAGTGACTCTGTGTATGACCACGAGCGCGTTAAGGTTCATTTATAATTTAAACTACCTTCAACAAGCCAACCAGAACGAACGTCGGACTCGTAACGTTTCATCATTATTTCTGATTATTCGCTAGTGTGTGTAGCGTTGACGTAGGCTTGATCGAAATCGTATACAATTTTGGATATCGCACGGCTTATCGTTGATAAAAAAAAAAGAGGGGGCTCAGTTCACAATCTAGTGTAATCGAGAACTCTCGATGATAATCGGGGCTCAAGTGACAATCGGCGAGGTAATTGCTAAAATGATCGTAGAAAAATCAGTCGGCAAACACTCTTGCTATTAATCCCGATGAGTTGATCGAGCGAGCATTCCCTTTCGTCTTCCGAGATGTTGATACAGCGTTAATCGAAGTAGGATCAACCGAGCAATTGGTGATTTACTTACGAAACGCTGGATATCCCGCGTTCACGAAATTAATAACGTGCCAAACGAGGTAACAAGTGCAAACATTCAATTTAGCGAGCCTCCCTGTAATAATACTACACAATATGAAACGAAATAATTTAATAAGAAAAGATGTTAAAGTAAGAATTCGAAAGTTACAGAATCGTTGGGTCACCCAATTTCTTCCATGTAAATCACAGTTTACTCTGGTTGATTGAAACAGCTGCGAAAGGAACGGTTCTCCCTTCTCTTTAAAATAGAATTAAACAGTCTTTCGATCGGCTTATCAGCATTTGTGCTTAATAAATGTGTACTCGGATGCTGTAAATTTAATATAAACAATATGTTTTTGCAGCAAACATTGCTGTTTGCCCGACGGCACAATGTTCCTCTCATTATTGTTCTCGTTAATTTCATATCAAATGCTTATTCATCTGCGTTGCATGTTTGCTCCGATCTGTTCATTAGTGAAACGTGTTCTACATGACAAATTGACGTACGCAAATGTCAGGCTATCCGTGGATACATATTTCGTTCGTTTAATGACAATATTTCGTTAAAGATAATCGCATATAAAGTCAGCATCGTTCTTTGTAAAAGAATTTCGAGTTGAAGATGAAAGAAAACGGAACGTATTTGGAGGTACTATCTACTGTTTAATTGTACTGAGGCAGGATTTTTCATTAAATCAATAATCGTCAGAGGAGATAGAAGAGGAAGCATTGCATCGGCCCATAGGGAAAATGGGCCACAGAACACGGCGCCTTTGCCGCGGCAAGCACGGGAAAAAAGGCCGGGGATGCTCTTTAGAACGGGCAAACGAAATTATCAGATCAAACAGCGGCGCTGTTATATTAATAAAATAGATTTCCCCCGCTGTTCAAAGAAAGGAAAAGGAACGTTGTCGTCTCCGACGTAACTTTGTTTCGTGCAACTCCCGACTTAATCACGTCGCGCTAAAGCGTACTCATTTTTTTTCCTCTTTAGTTTCCCACCTTTTTGACAGAATGCACGGGTGTAGCTCGCTTGTCACTTCGATTATCGCTAATGCTAATAATGATTCTGCTGTACTTTAAAGTTCTGCTTTTTCGGAGGATCGATTCATTTTTCGTAGCTTGGAGAGATGTTATTTGCAAATACGAAACAGGCGTAGAACGTCTGAGCGATCTACGAGTGTCCGGAAACGAATGATCTTTTTGAAAATGGTCTAAACGTTAATGCACCTGCCGCGAAAAGCTTAGAAGTTTAGGCAGGGCAAATATAAAAAGCGAGACAGAGAAGAGAGAAATCGTTAGTGGTCGAAGTAGAATGGGGCAGGAAGAAAAAATATCGCGGGGGGTGAATGAGCGAGGCGGGTTGGGTACGTAATCTGCTAATGGACTCTCTCTCCCTTCTCTTTCGTCGTCCAAATTCACCCTCACTCGGCGTACGGCTGCCTCTAACCCTCCTACGACCCTCCTAGACTCGGCTCGCTGCGACTCATCCTCCGATTCTCTTTCTCAACTTTTCTTTCTCTAGCTCTCCACCCTTGCTCTCCCTTACGCGTTGCTGCCCTCTACAAACTGCGCGAAATCATGTTTCGAACCATGCAACTGTGATTTTCATACGAACTGAAACATTTGTGGTATCAGTCGATCGTTAACGTACGTTCAATTTTTCTATTGAATAAAATTGCGTGACGCGGAATTTTTTTCAAAAGCTGATCTTAATAAAACTTTGGCGAAAGTCATTATCGGAAGTTCAAGCCTTCGTAGAAATCCTAACGCAGTTGGTAATTGACGAGTGAATCAGTAACACCGGGCTGAATTGGCAGCTGACGCCTTTCAGTGCATCTGCTATCTAATTCTTAACCGAACAGCTCAAACCTTCATCGTACCTAAAGAATTATACGATTCCAGTTGCTAATTGCATCAGTTGATTTTATTTATTGGTTTCATTCTCGGGGAACTCAATTTTTTAAGCAGTAATATTGAATGAAAACATATAAAGTTTTATGCATAATAAGTATTTATTTTTCACGTGTTCTCATTCATATTAGATAAAGAATCGAATTCGTGTTTCGCTGATCGGTTAATGAAACGAGTGACAGGCGAGAATCTCGAATGAGAAAGAGAGACGTGGTTACGCGTGATAATAGCGAACGACAGTAATGACAACAGTAATGGGAACTGCGGGATTGGAGCAGTATTTGATCAGGCTGCTGGGATAGGGTCGTGAGTAGAAATAGGCGGACGCGGCTGCTTCTATTCCCATTCTGCCAAGTGCCAAATTTCGCTGCTGTCTATTATCCTTTCATAGCGCTCTCCTTGTCGACGTGGTTTAAACGCCGCGGGAAAAAGTGCACGACTTCTGTTTGTGAAACATTCTCGATAATTTCAAGTTCTGCTACGCGGACGTGTTTTGTTACCTAATATTTAATGCACGTTTCGTTTTGAAACTGTATCAGATTTTTCATTATTTATTTTTCGGGAACGGGCTCAGGTTTTCGCGTTTAATGAACTCCATTAAGCTTGTTGATTTATCGTTACCTACTG